TTACTCACTGATAACCTTTCTAATGATGAAAGAAGTTTTAAAATCGGCCCAGTAGTTTTAACGTGAATCGAATACATACAAAAATACAAATATTTCCTCTTTATTATATTAGTATAGACTTATATAAATCTTACTAATATTATCAATGCAAAAGTTTGTATGGATGTTAGAGTTTGTAGCTTAAACAGCTGAATGGATCTCAATGAAATTTGTCATAGATGTAGAGGATAGTCTGGAACACATAGGCTACTTACATTGTTTTTTATTCCACGCAAAGGAAGTCGCGGGCGAAAGGTAGTGCCTTAAAAATTATATGAAAAACATTGACATTTTCTTCAACGTTTGTTCAGAGTAATCTCCGAAACGATTTTACTGATTTTGTCATAACTTGTATAAGAAGGTAGCTTATATGTGCGAGAATAACTTACGCTATATTATTTATTTTAAGCTGAGGAAGTGTATTATTAAGTTAAGCTATTTAATAATATGCATAATACTACATAAAGTTTAAATATGGTAAATCCCAATAACACAATGTGTTGCTTTTACTAATGCTTAATTTCATTTTTTAACTAGCTTTCGCCAGCGACTCCATCTGCGTGGAATTAAAAAAAACGAAAGTGAATAGCCTATGTGTTCTTTCAGACTATCCTCTACATCTAAACCAAATTTTATCAAAATCTATTCCGCCGATTAGGCTACAAACTTTAACAAACATCCATCCATCCAAACATCTAAACTTTCACATTTATAATATTAGTAAGATTTTCTATAGTAACTAGTTACTTAATGTCTCTTACCTCATAGCTTTAGTACTTTTAACTGGTACACACAGCGCTTCATACATTTTACTCTTCATCTCTCTATCTCTGCTCCAGCTGCGGCCTCTAACTTTGTTCTGCTTTATATTGCTAGAATGTTCCTCATTCAACACATCGACACTACCTCCGCGTTCAAATTGTATGGATTTTGATTGATTTGCGAGTCTGTAATGGTATATTATTAAGGAGCTTACAAAATTAAAACAAGATAACCAATAAAGAAATTCAAATATTAACATTGACAAAAAGGGTTTTAATAATTAAGCGATTTTTCGTGCAAATTAGTTGAAATAAAAAGAATTTAGAATTTAATAGTTTTTTGAAATAGGTGTTTTAAATGTTTTAGATTACTTACATCTGTTCATTATAAGCAGCGAGAGATTCAGCCGCTGTAGGAGGTTGCCAATAAGAAATGTCCACATTTTCCCATGAATCGCAGATAGTCTCATTCAAATTAGTCGATGAACTAACAATCATTCAGAAATCGATTAAAACAGTAATTTAAAAAAAAATACATATATGAGTAAATATTTTTTTAGTTGTGTTTTGCCTATTTTTTTAATATACAAAAAATTGATAACATTTATATTAAAATAATGCAAATTACTATATTTTTGCACACACATTTCGGCAATAGAAACTTGCCTACACTACATTGTACTTAAAACCGGTTAATATATTTCCAGTCCAGTGATCGAAATCACTGGACTGGAAATATGTGAATTAACCATAAATTGCAAGCAATGAAAAGAGAAGAAACAGATGAAATATATAAAATGATATTATATTGCACACCTGCTTTTGACATCCGCATAGCAAGATGTTAAGGAATTTGCTCTTCGTGTCTTGTGCCCCTCACTTCAGTAAATTATAACATTAGTAATAAGTCACATAAGTCTTAGATTAATAAAGCCTACGTTTTACGACTATTAAAAGATAATTGAAAAAAAAAAAACAGTAGTACATGTTATAAGCAGTTAATCTGCAATCCTTTAGTTTATGCCGTTAACTAATTGTTAGGCAACATTCCATTGTTTAATAAGACCATACAATATGTAACATCCATACAAAAATATATTTTTAGAGAGAGTACGTAACATCCATACAAAAACATATTTTTAGAGAGAGTGATAAAGACAATACTATGTTTTTGGTCATAATAATATTCCTCTAACAGTTTAAGCAAACTAAAACTAATTTAAAACTTGGTGATTTTTTAACGCCAGGGTCCAGAAATACGCTTTTTATTAACAATTCCTCAACATTAGTAATAAATATATCCTATATTACTCACAGCCAACACCAAATTAAAATAATCTAATGGTGAAAGAATTTTTAACATCTGCCCGGTAGTTTTTATGTGAATCGAATACATACAAATCTTTCCTCTTAATAATATTATAGTATAGTATAGATTATCATGTCCATGGGATAACAAATGCAATGAAGTGATAATGAACATTTAAAAGCCTTATAAATTAAAACACATACCTTTTACTTTGAATTGGATAAGGATTGCTTGATTTAAATATATTATTAGTAAACTCTTTTCCAAATTGCTTATCCTCCGCACAATTCTGATTTAAATTGGAAGCATTACTGTGGAAAAGTATAAAAATTGTGTTGATCAATTAAGAACAAACATAATAATTATTTACAGAAATTATTGAAGGAAACATATTTTGTGTTAGTAATTATGATAAAAAATAACATTATATGTAAAATATTCACCTTTCAATGGTATTTTTAATGGTATTATCGATTTTTCTATATAATACTTTATTGTTGTTGAGCTCTGTTGCCTGCATTTCAAAATCCATCGCTTCGGGGAAATTATAATATGGTCGAGAAGTGGTAGTTTTAGTCCTAATATAAAAGAAATCAAAAATATATTGTTACTTTGTTATAATCTGAATCATTATGGTATACATATTGTAAGTCATACGTTTAATGTTTTTTAAACAACTTTTATACTCCATTTCAAATATCTTGATGGCTCAAGGTCATCCGTGTGCAGCACAACGCACTCCATTTACAATAATATTGTATTTAGTGTAGAAACTTCTATGATGATTCAAGCCTCTAAGATATTTGATAACCTCTATATATTAATCTACATACCTATCTTGTGTGGTGTTAAAATTACCCCTCATTCCTCCTTTTGGTACTTTCATAATCGTAATGTATCTGAAAAAAATAAGTTTGTATATTAAAAATGTAGTCTCCACTTATAAGCTTGGGAATACAATTACATATTAGTACAGATAATACATATAGTCAAATATAATAGCTCGGAACATTGATCTCTGCATAAAACTCAATTTCAGAGTTCAATTTGGATTAAAAGGATCCAGGGAAGGGATGACATTAAGTCATCAAAATATTTGAAAAGAAAGCTAATTAATAAAACATAGGGATAACTCACTTGTCTTCATATTTAGTTCTATTTGGATATAAACTGAATGCATATTCTTTGTGTTCACTTATATGCTCCAATAATGTATTAAGTTCTGCCGGAATTCCATCTAAAAGTTCTCTACTCTTCACTATTTGTTTTATATTGACCATAAATGAATATTCAACGTTTGTCAGTTTATCGAATTTTAAAGAGAAACGTATATCATCGTCTAGGAATTCCAGAATTTGTGAATAACAATTAATTATGTACTGCATAGGTACTGCATTTATGATATTCATCTTTTGATTGGCTATTTTGGTGCGTCTTTTTAATTTTTTTTCACTTAATTTTGCTTCTTTCTTCTTTGGTGGCATTCTGTTAAGCAATGAATTAGTTTTAACACATGTCAAACATTGCGACCATGATTTAACAGATTCCAAAAAAAAACTTAAAACAAGTAAATTAGGGTCTCATTTTCTTTATGAGATAAAAATATATTTAATTTTCGCATTTATAAGATTAGTATGACTAGCTCTTGTCCGCGACTTCGCCCACGTGAAATAATAAAAAATACAACCTCCAGTTACTCCCTAACATAGCTTTTAAATGAAAAAAGAATTTTTGAAATAGGTCCAGCAGTTTTTTGAGTTATTTCAATACATACAAAAATATAAATCTTTCCTCTTTATAATAGTATAGATGTGTGTTAGCAATGTAAGTTGTTACTTACTTAACAAACTTTAGTTTATTACTCTTAGGAATTTTCTCAATTTCCAGTTTTCTGAAATATATGAAAAATGGAATGACAAAACATTAAATATAGTTATAAATATTTGATTGAATTTTTAATAAATATAATCCAAATAAATCGATATAATGCATTAGCTAAATAGCATCAAAACTCACATTGTCGTTTTACTTTTACATACTGTGTTCAATGCAAAATTGTACTTAGTTTTATATATTGTCAATGCTTCCTTTATTGACAAATACAATGCAGTAAAACGTCCATCCAATTCTGGTGCACAATTCTGATTTAATATTGCTTCAATAAAATCAGACTCATCTACTGATATTGTAGGGAATTTTAAAGTAATTTGGTGATCATTTTTAATAAAATTTAGAGCACTTTGTAGCCACATTATTTTGACATCATTTGAGACTTGTTTAATAGCGTCTTCATTGCATCTAGAAGGAAAAAATAGATCTGATAAAAGACATTAAATACAATTTTGATTTTTTAATATTTCATGGATTCTTTTTAAATTATGTTAATTGTTGATTGATTGAGTCTTTAACAAAACAATTCTGTGACATTTATGTAAATAATTGTATCATACAATTTTGCCATTGGCACCATTTTGTTTTTTTTTTAATCTCAACTTATTTCTGTGTTAATTTGAATTACATTACAATGGACTGTACATTTTGGTTGTCTTTAGCATATTTGTGTGATGAGTTGCAATAAATTTTATTAACATTTAGTTTTGTCTTGCATAATTTGCATTTCAAAAATACAATAACTGATTTAGAACTTGTCCATTTATTAATAATTTAACAATTACTCCACATAAAGTAAAAAAAACACTTACTGTAATTTTTCACTTGAACCCATATTCACAGTATCTTCAACTGGCATCTTGTTTAAGTTTTTCTCTGATTCAATTAATTTCTTCTTAAATACTTCAAAAGAAATATGCATCTTTGATACAGTTTCCTGTCCTTTGTTTTCTAGTTTGGTTAATGGTGGTTTAATTGAATCTCCATTTTTTGAATGATTTGGTACATTACCTAAATTTGTATTTGAATACATTCTTGGATTCACTTCAATGACTTAAAGTACAAAAATCTGTATAATCATATTTTCTTATTTATTACATCTGCTATTTTTTCTTGTTTATATTTTTATTGCCTTATTTAGAACATTTTGATGATCAAAAGAAGAGAGTGTCCAGTATTGGATGTCTGCAGTAATGATAAAAAATCTAATTTATTATAAACAATAGAATAAAAAATATAAATCACTCTTAAATAACAAAGTTGTAACAAAATAAGTTAAATCAAATATATTGTGATTGAATGTAACAGACCTGTATATTGCAATTTAAACATTCCATAAAATGCAGTGTCAGGGATGTTTATTACAAAAAATAATGTCAATATGATTTACATTGATTGTAAGAAAGTGAAAAATAAAGAAACATTTCCTAATTGACCACTCTTTCCAACTGCTCAGCTTTCATCACATAAATTAGTGTAAATAATCTAATTCACAATCCACGGATGTGTCTTGGCGGTCAGCAAATTTTATTTAATGCAATATTTTCGCTCAAACATGACTAATATTCTATGTATTGAGGACTTTTAACTACTTACTTATTGAAAAAATCATGTGTCCATGGTGTATAATATGCAAACTATCAGTCGATCTTGAAATGGTTTTGCAATATTTTCCGTTAAAATTGGTCACAGTAGTAGTATGTGGTGTTATTATATTTTTGGTAGATTCAGATAACTTTTAAGCAACAACAGTTTTACAATACCCATATTACAGAATACCTTTAAGATTTAAAATTTAATTGCAAGGTAAAAGTAAAAAATAACTGCAAAAATTAACCAAAGTATATCACTTCATTTTGCTAATTTGATATTATTTTTTTACCACTCGAATTGTCAAAAAAATACCGCCCGCAAAAAGATAAAATCTGACCAAAGTGCTAACTAACGGTAAATAACCGTGTCAGAAGAACATTATTATTTCAATATAAAACATGGAGAATTAAATTTTAATTCTTTAGAGGAGAATCAAATCTAAACAGTAGCTAAAAATGAATATTAAAAGTGAGATCCTGATGCAACTTAAATGTTTTCCGTTTCCCTTTCGAGACATTTTAACTGACTCTGTGAGTAACCTACTTTTTGACACTAACATAATGTCAAATCAAAACAAATCAAATCTGTCAATATCAAAATGGGTTAATAGCTGTCAATCAATCCCATTGCATTTAATTTATTAAATTAAAAACAATCATGCTTATATTTTTTGCCATACTTGTGTAAATTATTAAATAAGGTTACTACCAAGTGTAAAATGTCGTTTGATATATCTTGGAGCGTAGACAAATATAAAGAAGACCACGAAAGCGAAGATCATTGGAATCTTCGGAAAGCTTTTATGGAGCGTTGGAAAAATGATTATCCTGAAGAAAGATTGGTTTGTTTGGGTCGAGTGTTTGCTAACATGGAATTTATGGGATGTAGATATCCAGCAGAAGTAATGTTAGAAGTTTCTAGACTAGCTACAGATGTAAGTAACATGCTACGATATGTTTGAAGGCAGTAAAATGTTTCGTTAACAAGTTTCCTTGAAATCATCAATACACAAAAACTGCTTGTTAAATTTATCCCTGGTCATTATATTATACATATTTTAAAGGTTGCTACCAACTATCGGAAATCAAGACAAAATAAGTTGAAAAGAACGTTTGTGTCAGCTTCTACGGCTGCAGAAGACAGAGCCCGAGGTATTAAACGTACAGGAGGAGTAATTGATGATGGGCCATCAACAAAATCAACAAAAATAAATTTTGTACCACAAGGTGAAGGCAATTCTAAAGAAACTGACTCAGAGGATGAAGCTCAGACAGTAAACGAACAAGATGATGACAAAAGCAAACATCAAAATGACAAAAAAAGCTCAGAGATCAATGATTCCAATGACTACCTTAAGGACATGTCCAGTATGCAGTGCTTGGATGTTACAAAATTCCATGAAGATATGTTTTACACTGATTTTGGTAAAATGGTGTTGCTAATTAGACCTTGGACAAGTAAATTATCTAATATACAAGGTTAGTAGCATTTAAAATTAAAATGAAATTTGTCTTGTATACACCATGTGTTTGCCATTTATGATGTAACTAGTCAAATATTGACTCCATTCATGTGGATAAAAAAAAGTAAGTAGCCTATGTGCTCTTCCAGACTATCCTCTATGTCTATGCCAAGTTTCATCTAGATCCATTCAGACATTTAAGCTACAAACTCTAACAAGCATCCATCCATCCATCCCTCTAAACTTTTGCATTTATAATATTAGTAAGATTTATATATATAAGCCTGTAAAACTAGATTTTTAGATGTATTTTTGCTAGCTTTATATTGGAATTCTCCACATGGAGACACATGTCTGTTGGTTATGTATTTCAGTTATTATTTTAGCTAGCTGTGGTGTGTGCCATGTGGATATGGTAAGCAGTTATAAAAACAATTGCTTCACATTGACAATGAATGGCAATCTTGTGGCACAAGCTACCGGGCCTTCTAAGGCTGAAGCTAGGAGTATTGTGGCAATGATAGCATGGAATGTAAGTATATATGTATGAAAAATAAAATTTTCTTTTTTATTATTGTTAATGTAAAATAACAAACAATTTGAAGTCCTTCATTATAAACTATTTACTTATAACTCTATATTGTTGTTATATTTATGATGTGTTTAGTATGCTAACATAAAAAAAACATATAGCTTTTTTATTATAGATTAGATTTATGTATTTTCAAATATTTTTTTTTTCTTTACAAATGTCTTATTTTAGTTTTTACTACAGAATGTCACCATCAACTTGCCCTTATCCCTCATGGAGGGTCGGCACAGTATGTGCTGCTTTTCCATACATCTATATCAGCCATCATATTTGAATACAATATCTTTTTACTACAGAATGTGTGGGGTTTTGTATGTATATATTATTAAAAGTATAATTATTTGTTAGAGGTTGAGGGAAAGTGTGGTGAGTGTGGTGGTGAAGGAGCAGTGGATAGCGCAGGGGGAGCGCGTGTCGCTGAGCGACGTGGGGGTTCGCCAGGCAAGTGAGGCCGTCTTCGGCACGCCTATCGCAAATAGCGTCGCTACTAAGTTAGTTTATCATTTGCTTTATTGTTACACTAGCTTTCGCCCGCCACTCCGTTTATTGGAATTTAATAAAAGAAAAATAAGTAGCCTATGTGATCTTCCAGACTATCCTCTGCATCTATGCCAAATTCCACTGAAATCCGTTCAACTGTTTAGGCTACAAACTCTAACAAAAATTCCATCTATCCATCCATCCATCTAAACTTTCGCACTTATAATATGAGTAGGATTTGACTTCTAGATATTGACTTTTAGACTATGCTTTAAGAAAAGCTTTGTCCATTAAATTAGTAACTGGAACAGAATTATTCTTAAATACAGTAGGCTAGAAGCGGTTATTAACACACATGTGACAATGTTTCCATGAGTACCATTTAATACAAATTTTAAGTATATATGATAATTTTGCTTTCTTTGTTGTTTAGTGGCAATTCAATAATATTAATTAAAATAAATGTTTATAGGATGATGAAGATGATGGGTTGGAAGGGCGGCGGACTGGGAGCCGACGCCCAGGGTATTGAGGAACCAATTAAACCCAACTTACAAATGGTATGAAACATCATTATTGTGTTATGCGAAAGTGAGTTACAGTGTTAGTCTGAGTCATCTCAGACTTATACCATCTAGATTTATGATATGCTCAAGAAATGCGACATTAAGAGTACCGAAAAGAATGTATATATAGTCATATGAATATAGAAGCGAGAGAGGTATACCAAGTACTCACCAAATAGGCTATGGCCTCTGTCTACCCTTGTTTATTTTATATATAGGGATAAATGTTTTACGGCGCCATCAGACATGAGATATATGCTCGGTCATTCGGGCCCAAGATCATTAGTGTTCACCTATCCTAATAAAGAAAAAAATTACCTTGTATTAATCCTGATACGGACTAAACAACCCTCTCTATGGTCTCTGTCTACCATTAGGTGAACCGTGCTGGTCTCGGCAGCGATAGTAGGGATGTCCGTCAGTTGCGACGCGCGGCGCAGGATCTGATGCGACGTTACATTGCCTCCGATACTTTCGACCTGGACCTGGTGTTCAGCAGTGAGTTTAGCAAAGAGGAACGCGCTGCGCTTCACCTCTGCGCACAGAAAGCAGGCCTCGCTTCTAAGAGTTATGGTCTAGATAAAGATAATGAAAGGTATGTTTAAAAAAATTGATGTGCAATGTAACTGTAAATTGTATAAACAAATAACATGTTAATGCAAATAAAAAGGGCTCGCCATGTTGTGAAAAATGTGATTAATTAATTTACTCACATTTTATATTTGACAACTATGTAATAAAGAATTCAATTGAAGCGCCCCTAAGCCAGGATTTTTAAATATTTGTTTAAGCTATAACTGTTAAATATTTGGAACTAGAGAATCTATGCAGCATAAGGGCTACGTCTTCCATATTTTTTTAATTAAAAATCACTTCCATACTAAGTACTAAAACAAACAGCTCGACTATTAAATTAATTTTTGTGTTTCGCAGATGTTTAGTTAAAAACGATGTTGGCAAAAAGTATATTGTGTATTTTTTTATTACAGATTCCTAGTTGTACGAAAGAAGTTGGACCCATTTTCCTTAGTGCGTGCGGTAGTTCAAAAAGGCGGCGTCACACCGAAATATCAAGTTTTTATACCTATCGGGCTTGATAGACGAAGAAAAAGATAAAATACACATAGTGTGTAATTATTATTAAAAAACAAATAAAAATAAGTAAATCTATTAAAATAATATTGTCGTTTTTATTAGTCATTCCTGGTTTTAATACTTTTTAACTAAAGTGGAAACATAGCTCAGATTCATGTTGCTATTTTAGTAAAAATATAATGGTCACTACTTTTTGGATATTTCTAACTATACCACATTTGAGTTTAAATCCCAGTCGTAATATATTTGAATTTGAATGAATGACACACATGAAATGAGGATTTAACAAAGTTTGTTCATACTGAATTGTCTTTTTTATGTTTTTCATACATTTTTAGAATACACCACAGATTTCCCTGGTTATTTGAGTGAATTCAAGTTTCTAAACTCTGAAATTACTGGAAAGTATGTCTATATGTATGCAAACCACATAAAGCTTGGTATGCCATCCAGGTTTCAGATAACCATCTTATGTATTTGTGTTCTTTTATTTGATACGGGTGTCGATTTTATCTCATTTGTAATAGGGGATCAATCGAACCTGTTAGTATAAAAAGGGGCAAAACCCAAAAGAGATCACAATTGTTCACAAGTTGTAGCATTAGTCAGTCGTGTTTGAATTTCCTAAAATGAGTTCCAAATATTCAGTAGCATTTGCTCTTATTTTACTTTTTTGTGTATTAGTTAAAAGTTCGTTTATAAAGCCGAATAATGTACCAAGAGTTGGTAGAAGCAACGAAGCAGATGGAATGTTTGACCAGGGCGCTATGGGTTACGTTATTAAAACGATCCCAAATAAAAATATACCTCGGATGGGTAGACGAAATTTTGATTCGGTTGGTACAAATGACCATATGAATCAATGTTAGTCCTGAGTACTTCCTAGAAAAAAAAATAATGTTCATTTAAAATTATTTATTTCTGTTCGCAGGCAAATAGGTTCGATATTCCAAAGTTCTATCAGTTGCCAACGGAATCGTTTGAACTCTATGAAGGTAAGAAATCAGACAGAATTTTAGCACACCATCCCAATTCTTTAGTCTTTCTACCAATCGGCTGTGGGTAGTTTTTAGATCTCTTTATCTTCATTAAACTAACTAAACATGGCGACTTAATGCAACCTGGTTTTAGTGCCCTTTGTAGATCTTACTTCTGTAATTTCACATTTACAACCAGAAAGCTGTCGAAGCTAGGCACATGTTCTAGCTTCAACTTTCATCTTATCTAACCCTACTCTCAGATTAAAACGGCGGGTGTGTTGAATCCTTTCTATTTGAAATATTTGTAGTTGCTGAATGTTTGTGAATAACATGTTTTTTTTTAGATGGTGATCAATCCAAATACTCTCAGGAGACTCCATTAGAAGCTGCATTTAACAATCATTTAGAAAACATGAAGTAATATAGGAAAACATGCAAGATCCATTTGAGTACATGTTTGACTTAAAAAGCAAAAAAATAATGTTTGTGTTCTCTTAATAAAATAATTTTGTGCAAGAGTATGATTTTTATTTAAATAACGGTTTCCATTACGTTTCAAACAGATTTCAAACAGTTTCATTAATTTAATTTGTTTTAATAATTCTGCAAGTAGAGAAATGTATTTATCATTAAAAATGTCAATGTCAAACACTATAACCCACCAATTTCGAAATGATCAGTACATTTGACAGTAAATATGTAGCTTCTTTTTCTTTCATTAAGGTTTATTGAATAGTCTGTTTCACTCTACCCTTTTTCGATGGGACGTTTGATATAATTGCTAACTTTTCGAAGTTCTCCTATTGTATTTTTCAGAATCTTAAATTCTTTACAAAATTTCAAGTAAAACCAAAGCTATAAATTTAATAAATTGAAAAATGGTGGTAACGAACAATGTTGTTTTGCCGGAAGATTCTGAATTGACTGTAGAAGAGGTCAATTTATCGACTGCGACTTTGAGAGCTGGCTCTTTTCATTTAGGAAAATATTGTGAAAACCAAAACAATGTTAGTATTTTAGTGTTTTAATTCATTGTATCGTATCATTTATTTTATTGTCAAAACATGATGCATAACGTTTATCTTATACATTTGATTGCATAACAATGTACTAAGTAGGTTATGTTTTCAATATTTAAAAAATTGACAATACATTTTTGTATCAGTTACAATTTACGAATATTTTTGTTGAGTGCTTAAGAGGTCGTTTTTAAAAAACAATCGTCTCAAAATTAAGATAAGGTTGATTATTATGGTTGTAAATAAATTTCAGTATAAAGGGAATTATTAAAATTACATTTGTTCAGAATTTACAGTCAGTGAAATGACGTGTCTTTTTAATTTGTTTTAGGAGTTTATGCTCTGTCGTTTTGAGGAAAAAGATCCAAGAAAATGTATTAATGAAGGAAAGGCTGTTACGGCTTGTACATTGGAGTTTTTCCGAAAAGTGAAAAAAACCTGTTTGGCTGAGTTTAATCAATATGCAAACTGCATTGACAAAAGCTCTGGAGAGTATAGTTTCAGATAGTAAGTTCTTAATTAAATATTCATCAGATTAGTAAATTTCTCTATAATTGCATTAACGCTTTTGTGGCACCCTTAGTCATATTTATGTCAGGTATTTTTAAATGTCTTTATTTACCTAGCGCTGTACAAATCTAGTGATTAAATTAGACCAATTTCCCAATTATAGATTGATCTTAATATTGGAAAAAGACTTTAGTGCTGATAATAATAAAATAGTAAACTGTCAGTTTTTTTTATGTATTTTGTTCTTTTAAGTAATCTTGTTGGTTTACAGTTGCCGCAAAACCCAGGATGTGTATGACAAGTGCATTTTGGAGAATTTGAACTTGGAGCGTCCTCCATTTGGCTACTTCTGTGAAGTGCGGGTTCATGATACCAAGAGGTATTACTTATATACTCTACCCAAGCATATAAAAATCCTCTTTCCTGGGGAGCTTTTACCACCTTCATTACAAGAGGGTTTATCCCATATTTTTCCATATTATGAGAGTTTTATATTGGTCACCCTATACAGTACTGTATTTTAATTGACTAAAAAATATGAACATTATGTTAATGTTTAAAGGCAAAGTTATAGACATCAATTAGCTTACTTAATTTCATTGTAATTTAGCTTTGTAATGAAATATTGTCAACTAGCTGTTGCCAATTGTAGAGGAATTACAATTCCTTTCAGACGATATTTAAAAAATCTTTATTAGTACCTATATGTTCTAGATTATGTCTACATCTTGTTCTGGAGAAACATAGTAATGAACATCTATCCATCTAAACTTTAGTATTTACAATATTAGTTTTAAACAATTAATATAATTGTTTCTAGAGATATAAATTTAAAAACTGCACTAGAGACCTCGTCAGGAATGCGCGCGAATACACCAATTGTCCTAATGACATTGTCATCTGTCAGTTAGAGATGTGACGTTTATGCCGATAATCTAGTGTTGCGTCAATTCTGCAGCGCGGTACTATTTTGCTTCTTAACTTTAGTAAGGTAGTTGTTTTATTCCAGACCAAAGCCAGCAGTGGAGGAGAAGGCAGTTTACCCCGATGCTACTCCAGCGCTGCCGGTGGAAACGGAGAAGAAACCCGCGCGCTTCGGCTCTCGCTTCTACTGGATGACCGAATAATTATTGCTTAGAACATTTACCGCATCATTTAAAGTAAAACATTAGGAAGTGCATATTTATTGAAAATTTATATTCAATTTACTTTGCTTTTAGTCATTATACTTTTTTTGATTTTTTTGCAATTTGTTCATAAGGATAATAGTGTTAAGTCGAATCCTTTTTTTAAATTATATTGAACAGCAATACTTTTCTAATGTGATATCTTAAATGATTTAGTTGTAAAAATCATGTAGACTAATAAAATGTTGAAATTTAGTTGTACTTTTATTATTCCTAGAGTGATACCATGGTAGGATTTTTCAAAAGGTAAAAGGTAAAGATTTTAAGCGTTTTAAATAAGTCAAATTGTGATTTACCAACTTTGTACCTAAATGATACTCAACATGAATTGCAAAGAATTTAACAGTTTACATTGAGAACAGGCTAAGGTAAGGTGCACCGAGTCTACGGGGGTAGGATAAGGTGGGGGAGATGATGAAGGTAAGGTTTAATAAATAAAATCACATATCGATATTGTATATGTCAACAGATTTATTGTATTATTTACATGTTTCCAATGACAAAATACTTATATCAGTCTTCGCCCACAAACCGACCATCTGAATAGGAATAAGGTTGTCCACCTCGGAAGCAAATAATAAAATGGTTGGCCTATGGTTCTCATTTATATCTAAACATTTAAATTTCATATTTTACATACATAGATCTACTTTTTCCAAGTCAAGAAATGCTACCTACCACGTTTTATCTATTTATTGTAATATTTTTAAACAATTCATCAATTAATCTTGACTCAGATAAAGCAAATATAAATCTTATAAATGAAAAGAATCTGAGCAAAATAATATCTTATAAGAGATAGTTGTGAAATATTTATTTGAAATAATATACAAAAATAGATTTATTAAATAATAGATATTCAATTAAACTTTATAAATGATACAAATTCTAAACCCAAATTATATTTATTTGGGATTTAAAAATAGAAGGAATATTATTTTACTTACTAAGAGGTTAATTGATTGCTTTGAATAATATGTAATTGATATTTTAATATTACATTTAATAAAGAAAATAAAAATTGACTAGTAATATATGGCCTAATTGTAAATGTGATATATGATAAATCCTAAAAAGGAATGCAAAAAACCTAAATTCGTTTACATAATTCTAAATTATCAACTCTTTAATACGCCATTAAATTAATTAATTTTGCATTCAGAAATAAAGTGTACTCTCAAATCTGTCCGAAGTTGGCAACAGATTGCATTGAAATATCTATTTCTTTTCATCTAACAACTTCATACTATGTTAATCTCGCTCACTCCATAAAGAGCAAAAACAAACTTCAGACACATCTGTGGAGTAAATTAAAAATAATACAATTACTAAAGTGTTTTGTTTACAATGACAATAATAAATTAGATATGGTGAAATACAGGCAGTAGCATAATATTGTCTTAACGTGTTATTTATGATACAGCTAAATACTAATTTATTTTCTACACCCAAAATGTCTTTTTAAGGAAAGCAGTCTATATTATGAATGTGGTCAACTTAAACGAAAAATATGGCATTACGATTTACCTAACATTATCATAGCTTCGTATGTCTGAATAGCTATAGTTGAATTCAATGGAGATGAGAAATTATGTTTTCATATTTACTTGGAAAAAGATGTAATTTATTGTCTATGGATTTTATTTGGATCCTTTTAGTTTTTAAATTATTTTTTAATAATTCTGTGATTACAGCCCTATATAGATAAAATTGTTTAGATAAGTTTAGTATAATTTATTTCTATTGAATTCAACTATATTTATAATTACATCTATTTTTAAACATCAAGTAATGAAGATATGCTATGTTACTTGACTAAACTTTATATCTCGATGTTGTTTCTCCTCTTAACATATTACTTTTTCCATTACAAAATAATATCCCATTCTATAATGGCATCATAAAAATAAACTAATTTTCTGACAAGTAAAATAATTTACATCTAATCGAAAACATCAAATATGCACACCTAGAAAAAAACTTATGCAAAAGTAATGTATTTTAGACTACTAGCATACGACTAATTCATTATTATTGTATAAAAGTATTACAACCATGTTTTTGCTTGTCACTGCTAAGATATGTTCAGCCTTAACTAATTTACAGACTACCCACTTGCACGGAAACAATTGACTTTGATTATTTTTTAAATAGATTAAAAGGTAACAAATAAAAATAATATGTCGCATTATCATAATTGTTTTCTCAGTAGATTTTAATTAAAGCTTAATTCATCATTAAAATGTTAACTAATTTATATGACTAGGGCATTACAAGTTTTTACAAATGTTGGGTAGTCTGTAATATTAAATTTAACATATATTTATTTATTGTTCCGATACATCGTTTCTTCTGGTAGTTTGTATTGTAATTTATCTTTTTTAATTATCTATACAATTCCATGAAATCGGTCAATATAGATACATTAAAGCCAACTCTAGTTTTCTTCCTTCTTTCTATACCTTGCGAAATAATTGATAAAAGTATTTTCTCAATGGCAACACTATTAAATTAAATATCAGATGATTCTGGCTACAATTTGTGATCGAATTATTGAGTATGATATCTACTAATTTAATGTTTTAAACCTATTGGCGCAAAATGATTAATGGAATATCGGAAAATTGATTTTTATGTACATTAATTACATTTTATCTCTATAATAGGAAAGAGTCATTACATTTTTTTTTTAGGAATTCTATCTTCCTTTTCGTTTTTACTTGCAGGTTAAATGTGTTATTAAACATTTAGTTTTGAAAAGGCAAAAGAGATTGTAATGTTTCTGCCACAAATCTGACACAATAATCGTTCGTTATTTCGTCTTTTTTAATACAATTGCTTTATTATAATTTTATTGCCTTCTTATCTCATTTTAATATGTAGTTTTCGTTTATAATTTTTTTACCCATCAAAAATAAACAAAATGGGAAAATAGTTATTATCTTGGAAACTGGTTTTTATTTTATAATTTTAATCGTTGCATTCATAGGAATGTATGAAAAAAAATATGGCAACGTTTATTTTTTAATTTACAAACTAAATATGGCAAGCAATTCATAACTAAACTTACTTGTGGTTGATAAAAAAAGTGTTCCAATTGAAAATAATTGTCAAAAATTCTCTCGTTTTAGTTTCACAATTTCAAATAAATAAATTTTTCCTATTTATGATATATTTGTAGCTGCTAGAAAGAAAACGTAACTAAAAAGAAATCTATGAAACTAGCCGAGTTTTTCATAAAATATTTGCATTTGCTTGATGTAAATTTTACTAGAATTTCTACTTATTTTTGTCTTTGAGGAGACTTTTTTTTTGTTATTCCTATTCTGTAAATTCTTAGCTTTATCAGCCTTTAATGGTTTAGCAAGAATTTCTCTCAGTCATGATTCTTTGGTTGTTGGCAAGTTTATTCAGAATCTGATCGTTCAACTTTTAAAGCTTTTATAATACATGAAAGATGATATGTAACCTTTGATAAATAAATTTAATGATTGTGATGGTAAGTTGGTGATAGAACCAACTGAATCATGAATGATGGTGAATATTATAAATAAGTCCTTACTACAATACTACATTTTGATTTTATAGTTGATCGAGTTTCAATTTGATGGTAAAGAATGATTATTAGTCAAGGTTTAATACTCAGAGACTCCATCTGGCTCATGGACCTTTATCTTATTTTGGAGGGGGTTTAAATATTTTGAGGTTATATTTTCGAAATGTATTTATAGTATTATTAATTTCAAGTTCATTTGAGGTAAGCCAAACCACGAGATATGGTGGATATTCGTTTCTACACCTTCATAAAGCAGTCTCCAGACTGATATTTATTAATGTTATACTATTAGCTGCCCTGTGACCTCTTTTTACGAGACATGACATTGGATTTCACATATAGATATACATATACACATGTTTCTACTTCACAAAATCACGTACAAACATATGTGTTTTTATCACAAACCATGATACATTTTCATTTCCGTCGCCATTTTCAACTCTTTTTCTAAAGACTGCTACACACGTTCTGTTTTATTAATAATAAAGGCAAAATTTAGTACTGAACAGTTCTCAGTGTTGTTAAATTTCAGTTCAGATAAAACTAAATGGTGTAGCGGGCTTAAATGATATTAAAACACATTTGAATATAGTGTTGAGTTTCGACTGCTTTGCCGTATTAATATTGTCATCTCTATTTTACCAAAGATAATGTAAGTGATGGGAATATGTTTTAATACAAAAAGCATAAGCCTTGGGGTAAATCTAATTACAAAGAATTCAATAAAGTACAGTGAGATCTGCTGTCGGTGTCTCATCTTTAAACCGAGAATCATTTGAACTTTTTATTCGAAGGGAACGACTAACAATCTATTTAAGTTACACAAATGATCCAAAGTGGTAAAAAAAAATATATCAGAGTTAGTTTTCTGTAATAGCATGAACTACTTTTTTATATAATAAAAGGGGGTAAACGAGCGGCGAGAACACCGAGGTGGTAAACGACGTCCAGATATCCGCAACACCAGAAACTACAGATGCGTTGCTGGCCTTTGAGGAAATGATAGGCTCGTTTCTTGAAGGACCCTAAGTAGTATTGGTTTGGAAATACCGCCGAGGACAGACTGTTCCACAACGCGGCTGTGCACTGTATGATCAGTTTTAAATGTGACTGACCTGCATTTCTGTCTTTTGCGTAGATATTTCGATGTGCTGAGCCGTTATATTGGTGAATATTAGTGTATTATCGCTTGTAGAGCGCGAGCAGGGCGGCGGCGATGGCGAGCAGCGCGCAGAGCAGCGCGGAGAGCGCGGCGCACGCCTCGCCCGCGCCCTTCACCAGCGCACCGCCCATGTACGACACGCACAGGATCAGACCGTGCGCTGTACATCTGTTGAACAAAATCACATTATAAATAATAAAATATATTATTATAAATGTGAATATTTAGATGGATGGATGGAAGGATGTTTACTAGAGTTTGTAATCTAAACGACAAAACGTATTTCAATGAAATTTGGTATAGATGTAGAGTATAGTCTGGAAGAACACATGGCTACTCACTTTTTTTCTATTCCGCGCGGACGGAGTCGCGGGCGAAAGCTATTCATATTCATATTATAAATGCAAAAGTTTAGATGGATGGATGGATGTTTCTTAGAGTTTGTAGCCTAAATGGCTTAACGGATTTTGATGAAATTTTGCATGGTTGTAGACAGTCTGGAAGAACACATAACGTGGACGGAGTCGTAACCGAAAGCTAGGACTTTAAAGGCCTTTAAAGGCTGCGAATGTCCATAGGTGTCTTTTGCCCCCTTCTCATATAAAAAAAATCTCTCTGTTTCCGCACATGTACTTTATGTGTCCTTTCAGACATGAACTACTCGTTATTTTTTTTAAGTTGTTAAAAAGTCGTGGTAAAAGCTAGTTTAAAGTATAAACATAGTTCGTATTGATCCCCTTTACTTTAAAAAATAAACAATGAAGTACTAATAACCATAGGCAATAAAACTATAGTAATTGCTTCGTTTCTAATGGTATTAAATGTTCTGTTTATACGGATATTTGTAGGATGCACGTTCATAAATAACATTTAATTAAATACAATCTCACCTTAAATTAGCAGGATAAGAATTGACAACTTCAAGACCGACGTTGTAGAATATGAGGGTGAGCAGCAATCTGTACACCGCCTCTATGAGGTACAGCATCGTCTCATCTTTCGTCAAGTAGATAGAGGGAGACACAACTACGCACGCCGTGCACAGCAACACTGAAACAAGACAAGACGTAAAGCCTGTTCAAGCAAATTGCAAATTTAAATAATCCAACGTGTAAAACGCGTTGCAAATATCAGATTTTGTTCCCTTTTCTGACAGTGACGTCATGTTTAAGCTATCTGAGTCTCTATCAGCCAGTGGTGGGACAGTCTCTTAAAATTTCAAATACAGTCAAATCTGGATAACGAGACCTAGAGGCCGTAATATTCTATTATAGAGACTTCTCTATAATTCAAGATTCTCGCTTTCCGTGGGACGACGACTATAAGTTTTACTTTTCTAGTTTCAACTAATATAATTAATGGAGTTTTCGTGCAGTGGTCGGCAAAGTTTTTACCCAAATAGCCAAATATCACCAATTTTATAATACACGACTACATATAAGACAAGCGCGAAGTGGGAGCAATTCCGCATACAGTTTGATGAACGTGGTGCCGGAGGTCTAATTTTAGTCCTTTTACTCTTCCACCCTTTTCTTAAGAGGAAAAGAGGATTTACCTGTGGAGTAGATGCATATAAAGGAAAAATATGCTTTTTATATGCGTCTCCTCCGTTGAT